AAAAGTTATCCCTAAAAACCCTTTCAAAAGGTTGAAACTCAACCCACCACGATGGTCACACCACAATGCACAGACCATTCTGGTAGTTCCAATTTTTCACAAGGATAAAGTTATAGTGATAGACCATAAAAATCTAGGGTTCTACCTTCTCAAGTGGGCGCCCCAAGAACCCAGACTCCGGTCCAGTTGATGCAAACAGCACGAGGTTATTGAAGCGACTGTACAGTCAGGCTTCCCTTGTCCTAAGGGCAAGAGTCGCATCACACTGCAGCTACATAGGTACTTTTAAAGGAAAACCCCACAAAAGCCACAAGATTACAATTCCCATACAATTTTGTTTCGATTGATTTATATCTAGAGGCTAATTTCATAAGATCATGGTTTGATCACAGAGTGATCACAGAGTGGATACAGTCACGTCCGCATGCACATTCTTCCCAAAACCTCAAAGGGGGTATCAGGGTGGGAGTGAAGTTTACACAAAGGTCACAGTGGTCCTTCCTGGAACACTTGCAGTTATCCCAGTCACAGTTGAGTGCATCTCTTAATAGAAATCTCTTTATATTGTTACATTGTGGCAGGGGGGTAGTTGAGTAATGGCTGAGTCAGGTTGCCCTTGGAACTAGCTGTTTTTAGTTCCTCATTCTCTTGGGGCTTGGGAGGTGTAAGCCTGAAGGGTTAGGGTCTTTCAATAGGAGAGTATAACTCTGATTTCATTTCCTCAGGACTCTCCAAGAAAGGTCAAGATAGACTTCTTTGCTGATGCATCTTGGCAAGGTGCTTCTTGAAAAATGATGCAAACCTACCCGAATCAGTTACTAAGGACTTTTATCTTCTTATATCCCAGAGGTATTTATCTTGGAAATTTAAAAAATAATTTCACTGATTCCATATGTCCTTTATTTTTACAAGTTCTTGATGTTTTCTTTCAAAAAAGCTGCTTTTCCTTGTTCTTTTGTGTTCTTCCCTATCTGGTCTTTATTGCCATTGTTATTTACTTACAAGAGAGAAACAGACTATGAAAATATACACTTTTCTGCACCAGTGTGTCCAACCTTTTGACACTGCAATACAATGCTGTCGATTACAAACTCCATTAAGCTGCTGTAAGATATTGGGTAATCAAGTTACAAACAATAGCTATCCTGGGCCTCAGTTTGGACACCTAACTGTACAGCCTTTAAAAGTCTTCATCATACCTCTCCACCAAAGTTTTCATTTGAGATATACTTTAAATGAGCAAATATTTATCACACATAACATTCATCACTACTCTCAGTAAGAAGTATTTCCTTTCAAGGACTCCCTGCTGGCTTCATTAACTGAATGAACCTGTCTACACTTCAAGAGGCTGAGCCTGGCACTATAACCCAAGGATATATAAGCTCTCCCCCTTCTCTTGTTTTAGTTGACTTTTAAACAAAGCAAAAACCCCACTAATTCTGATCAGATTTGTTGGTTTAGGTCCTAATCCCTGCATGTGTCAGGTGGAGATGCTCTCAAGTCCCAACCTAGTCTGGACTATAGTTAAGACCCAGTCTCAAAAACAAAACAAGCAAACAATCACCGATAGTGATACACATGGATAATGCCAGCATTCAGGAAGCTGCCAACCCAGGTAACATAGCAAGATTTCGTTTGATCATTCTTCTACTAGCTCAACTACCTAACAGGCTCAAACTGTTATGTCCTGCTATTTTCTATCCTTGTTTTAAGTCTTCGATGTCCCAGGTTGGTCTGGACCTCGTGATCCTCACGCCTCAGCCCAGGATTACAGGCATGAGCAAACATGCCTGGCTTGCCGCTAGCAGCTTAGTGATTAACTTATGATTAGCTATTCCTGGGCAAAGGAACAAAGTATCAGCAGAAATCTTTTTTTTGAGAAGTCCAAATGGTATTTGACGTTGTTCTTTTTACAACTAAGGTCCTTAAACAAACAAACAAACAAACAACAAAGCCCACATTTACTGTGTGTATGTCATGCATGTGGAGATCAGAAGGCAATTTGTGCAAACTGGTTCTCTCCTTCCACCACGTGGGTCCTGGAACTGAACTCAGGTTCTCAGGCTTGGCAGCAGGCACCTTAATCCACTGAGCCATCACTTAGGCCCCCAAGGCCAGGATCTTAAAACTTACTTTTTTCTATATTTACAGAACTCAGGAGAGCTATCTTTGGATGGTATCAAAGTATAGATCAAGGATTTGTAATCTTATTCTCTAACTGAAAATAAATCATCTTTAACTGGCTCAGAAATCTTGTGTTTTTACCAAAAAAAAACTGCAAGGACTGGACTAGGAGACAAAAGTTGATTGGGGCCTCAAGGCTAATCCAGGAGAAGAGAAAACAAAACCCAGGCTCTGGGTAATGGAGACCCCACTCAGCATGAAGACTTACTGCCCCTTGCTCCTTCCTTACCTCTCTAGAAAAGCTCTTTGCACCCAAATTCTTCTCTAAATGGTCTTTGCTGGTGGCAGCTTCCCATCTTCTTTGGTTTCTGTCTTTGCAAATCCTCTTCTGACCTGAGTCACTGGAGAGCAGTGGGGAGCAGCCAGACCTGGATCAAGGAACAGCACCAATTACTTCCAAAGGAATGTACTTGTTAGTACTGGGAACCACCCCTGCAAACACAAGTGGGAAGTACAAAGCAAGTTCTATGTCCACAAGTAAATAAGAGGCCATGTACATGGTATATGAGGGGGGCACAGTACCCACATGAATGGCACCAAAGTGATAAAATTATTATATGAATTTGTGTGACTATGTAAAACTAACTTGAAATAAATGAAGGCACAAAATTCAGCTATTACCACTTGCAAATAGTTGTCTTCTAACAAAACAGAAGACATTTCATCATTCCATTGAGGAAGGTGGTATATATAAACACGGCACAAAGCAGCCACATTGGCTCATGAGGTGGAGTTGCACAGTGAGAGCGGAAGAAGGGCGGGAGTATGGGTCCCTGATGGCTGTGTGCAACATGAGCCCCTGAGAGCTAAGGTTTTACATACGAAAGAGAACGTTTATATTCAAAGACCACATTTACTTTTAGTATCTCTATCATGGTAGCCCAACTGTAGCTTAATTAAAATAAATTCCAAGCTAAGGAATATAGGATTTATCATAAATATAGTGGCATATAAATTGTTTTGCTTTACTAAGACAGAATCTCACTACAGATTAGACAAGCCTCAACACTGGGATCTTCCTGCTTCAATCTCCCTGGGAATTGAGGCCTGCACTGCCACACCCAAGATAAAATGCTGAATTTAGAAAGGAGAAAGCAGAAAGACAAAAAGGAAAGCCATTACAGGGATTGCAGCTATAGACAGGTTAAGTGAGATTAAAAAAAAAGAATTTAATTTTAAATCCTAGCCACATGGAAGATGCCCGTATCAATGATCAAGATAACATAGGAAACATGAGGGAAGAAGTATGTACATAGTAAGATTGGTCAAGACTAACAGAAATGTATTTTTAGTGCTCAAGCAAAAATTTAACATATAGGTCTCACTTGCACTCAAGTGTTAGTTTAAGCAACAGGAACAAATGAGATTGTGAGGGCAGAAGTTAAAGGTTGACCAGGAAAGGATTCCTCTATGCTTTAAGAAAAATAAACAAAGCAACAAGGACAACAAAGACTGCCCAAGAAGCCATACATTTAATCCCCAGTACCTAGAGGGACAAAAGCCGAACAGAGCTGGGATGTCGATGACAGAGCAAGTGCCTGCCTAGCATGTAGCTCATGTACTAGGCCCTGAGGGTGATCTAAGTTCTGTGCGAGGAGGGACAATAGGTCAAATATATAATACTTCTCAAACTTTTTTATTAAGTTAAACAAGCTCAAGTCTAAATATCCTACTGTTTTAGCACACTGGTTTACAGAAATTCTCGTGACTTTTATTATTTATTTGGGTGCTGAATATAGAACCCAGGATCTTGTGCATGCTAAGCACATGCTCTATCAATGAGCCATACTCTCAACCCTTTAAAATTAATCAAGGGCTAGAAATACCTTAATATGAATTGATGATATAAACTACCATTTTGGGGAACAATTGAATTTACAGAAATATCGGTATACTCTATTTTAATTTAGAACATTTAGCCATGAACAGACTCCATTATGGGGATAAACAATGCAACTAAAAATAAAGATTTGGAACCCTAAAGGTCAAAATGACCACTTTATGGCAGTCACCTAATCAATGAAACCGTTACATTTTAAAGACCTCTCTCAAAGCTCAGTTTTCCCATGTTCTAGCCTTTGTCCTAAAACTTCCTGCAAATTAAGATGGCCACTGGCACAGCAAGGAGGAATTTAGACTTTTCTCCCACCACTACCCACAGCCAACCTATATACACATTTGTCTTTTACCAAGTTGTTTCCTAACTTTTTTAAAAACAGAAAAAAGTAAGGCAGTGGATTTATGGACCAGTAACATTAATATTTAGTTTGATTATCAACTCATACTTTTTTTTTTCAAGAAAATACTCCCCTTTCTTAAAAAAAAAATTTAGTATGGATTGTGGCTTTAAAAAGTAAATTAAGAAAATTGAGGTTTTTTTGTTCGTGGCTTTATTTCTGTCACAAAATCCCCTCCTCCTGCGCGGTTGACCCAGGTGAACCACCCGTTAACCTTGGATATTGAGAACTAAAGTGAAGGCTCTGAGGGAAGTCTCAGCTTCTCACGTGTATCCAAACTGCTACAGTTAATCACAAAATATTTGTCTCTAACTGGCTAGATTTTCAGATCTGGCAGCTTCTTTCAAATGAAAGACAACGAATGCTTTCTACTTCACAAGGGGAGGGAGGTGGGAATCTTAATTTTTTTCAAGAGCAGAAGAACGGGAAGAGCAAAGTGCAGTGTCTTGTTCTTCCCAGCCCCACCGCAAACTCCAATTCTCCTTAAAAAATGTCCTGCTCAAGATGACATCACCAGGCATAGTAATGATAGATCCAGAAATTCACAAATCTGTTGTGGATGTTTTTATTTTGGTTGTGGCTAAGTTGCTGGGATTCTGCCGCACTCCAGCGGCATGACTGCACATGCGCAGTTCAGGAGCTAGACAAAGGGTCTTGCGTCTTATGTCATCAGTGTACATTGGAGATCACGTACTCGCAGCCTGGTCACACAATCAGCACATGCATGGTATAGCTCTGTAGGCCCACCTGCACCTTAAAGAGCCATGACTCAGACCCTACCCTCTCTCTGTTCTGTTCCCTCTCCCCCCACCATCTTTCCCTCTCTCTTGCACATGCTCCTTTCCCAGGCCCGGTTCTTTTGTCTCCAATTATTATAATAATCACAATAATCACAGTAAGGATGGCTCTCTAGCCAGAGATCCGTTTACAGCCTGCCTCCTGGAGAGTCTTCCTAAAGCTGTTCTGCCAGCAAACTACCAAAAAAAAAAAAAAAAAAAATCAAGACACGGAATAAAATCCACCTCTTGTCTCTCAGAGCTCCCTGACCTTAGGGCTAAAACTTAAGCATCTGGAGAGCAAGGCTCCTGAGCTCACAGGCAGAAGTTTCAACTGTGGCATTTAAGGTGGACCAGGGAAGAGATGAGAAAGCTGTGAACAGAACTGCCAAGTGCTGGCACACGCTGTCAGACTGGCTCCTGAAAGCCACTGGGTCTGTGTTTTAAGTGTGGGGGGAGGGGGTGAAGGCCAGGTGGGCTAGTGTGTGCCCTGCCAGGCCATCAATTGAGCCTTGTTCAAAGTGCCACCTAGAGAGATAACTGGTCAGCGAACTGCCCCTGGGCACCGAGTGGCATGGGGACAAACTAAGACCTCCAGCAGACCTCCTAGGCTTGGCCACAGCTCGCAGGGAACCCAGAATGCAGCATGGAAGCGATCTGTTTCTTTCCTTCTGGACACTGTTTCAGTCTTGGGGAGTTTTGGGGTCTCACCTCTCCTAGTTTCCCTATTATCAGGGTAGGGAAGACAACCTTACCCACCTCACCAGACTTAATTGTACTTTCAGGGTTACTTAATAGGAAAAGATTTTCCAGCTAAGGTAGGAGCTTTCATTTCATTGCTCCCTCCATGTGCCTCACTCCAGACCTGTTAACAGTGCTTCTCCTCCTCATGCACAGACAGGGCCCTGCTCTCTGCCCTGTCCCTAATTCCAAAAGAGTGAGTTCTCACCCCACAAGCTTTTCTCTCCCTGGTTCCCTCTTTTAATTAACTACTCAGCTAATTGTTACAGGATCACCATAGAGCTGGAATCCAAGGACCATCAGATATACCCAGGTGGTAAG